ATAATAATAATAATAATAATAATAATCATAATCATAATCATAATAATAAAAACTACACCTAAATGTTGTCTTTAATTTCCTTCTTGTGTCTTTGTTTAAATGTCAATATGTTCAGTGATTAGTCTGACACAGACATGAAGAAATAAATGATTAACGCCTGCAGCTATRTAAGGAAGACAATAATGTAAATGTCAGTCTGTTAGCAAAATAAGAATTATTATGAATTGCTAAACAGATTTTTCAAAAACTCCTTGGATGAGTATCTACAGTTAATTAACTTTGGGGTGGACCAAATTCACGATGGCAGCAGTACAAAACCCAAAATTATTATTTTCACAAAGGGCCGCATCAGCATTATGGTGGTCCTCAAAGGACCAGTTGTTATTAACTTCAATGTTTTGTGTTTAACTTTGACCAAAAACATGAAGCATCATGTGCCTCGTCTCATTGCCTCAACTGTGTCTAACAAACAATAACTGAGCTCTGCGTGGTATTTACTGCATAGAAACCACATTTTAAACTGTTCTCATACAAACACTGAAAAGCACATGTACGACTGACTAAATGTGGACTAATACAGAAATACTGTTAAAAGTAAAAGAGTCTTGAATTCTGAACTCTCCCACTTTCAATTGCAGGGGGGCGTTCTAGTTTAAATTTACAACTTGTAAGTGGGAAATTCCTGCTTCTCAGTACAAATGGGCCACAGCAAAAGGAGTAAGCTTGCCAGCTACTGGCTACTTTTGAACCCTGTGCACCTCCACCTGGTAGTAAAATGGCATCATTTTGCTGGTAAAATAATCCACATGCATTATGGCAGGTGTATTTGATGGTCAATGCTGGCTTTAAAGCAGCTTATTTTAAGACATTAAAACATATTTGAAGCTCTTATGGCCCACATAAAATGCTGCAGCTGGCCACATTTGGCCCGCAGGCCTTGAGTTTGACACACAAGCACTGAACATATTTTAATGAACCTCTTCGCTGGATGCACATTTGGTGGACAGGGAGGCAATGGGCATTTCTGTAGACACCACTGCTATTGGTTGATTAAATATTTTGCTAATAGACACACAGAACTGACTCCAAGAGTTAATGCAAAAGTTAAAAACAAAGATCTTGCACATTGAGTACAGACACACAACATTTTAGCTCTATATCTAGAAAACTGGCTGAATTATAGCTACTGATGCTATTAATGTGTAGAGCTACGAACACCACAGTTCCAGATTAACATCTGCAAAACCTGTGGGCAGCACTATTCTAAAAATTAGTTCCAATATTTAGGTCCCCTAATTCTAAAGCAGTTAAAATACATTACAGTTAAAATAAATGTTTATCAAATAAAGTTTAATGTTACAACTAATCGTGGAACCCTTTGAGCCTCATCATTGGCTTTCCACAGCTGYATTTCAAAAAAACTCAATTCAAAAATACTTTATTGATCCCAGAGGGAAATTAGGTGAAATTAGAGTTCATATATTGCCATTATGTCACCTGGGTGACCCATATTTGAACAACAGTTGTTGACATTAAAGCTGAACAATAACATTTATAGACCTCAGTTAGTGCTTCTAAATTTAGCCCCCAGAAATTTAGCAAGTGCTAATCCACTAATAAATTTTAAAATGAGCAAAAGCACTAAAGCACTAATCAGGAAATTTGTTCCCCTATTAGTGCTTTAGGGGAACTGCGCCCACTACTGCCTGCTGTTTGTTTGTTTGTTTGTTTGTTTGTTTGTTTGTTTGTTTGTTTGTAATTCAGTTGCCTGTGGCGGCCATCTTGGATCGGAGTGACTCCAAATGTGAATCAGCTCCAGACGTAGATCCAGTGATTACTTCATGCAAGTTTGATTAAAACTCGCCGAGTGGCGCGTGAGATATTTTTGCTGACAGACACAAGGCATTGGGG